TCTCCATTGTGCCTCATTTCCAAAAGAAAACAGAGACACCGGTAAGTGCTCGGAATTCCTGAAATCTCCTACCACTCGAAGGTTTAGCCCTAAAGCAATGCAAGCAAGCAAGCAAGCAAACAAACAAACAAACAAACAAATAAATTCCTTATGCAGGGTAGATTTGTGCAATATTGTGTATAGAGAGACTCTTAAGTCAAGTGTACTGAACGTGTGCAGCTTTTGGAGCTAATGCTATACAAAATACTCAAGACTGGGACGCGGGTGGCGCTGTGGGTAAAACCTCAGTGCCTAGGACTTGCCGATCGTATGGTCGGCGATCCGAATCCCCGCGGCGGGGTGAGCTCCCGTTGTTCGGTCCCAGCTCCTGCCCACCTAGCAGTTCGAAAGCAGCCCTAAGTGCAAGTAGATAAATAGGTACCGCTTTATAGCGGGAAGGTAAACGGCGTTTCTGTGCACTGCGCTGGTGCTGGCTCGCCAGAGCAGTTTCGTCACGCTGGTCACGTGACCCGGAAGTGTCTTCGGACAGCGCTGGCTCCCGGCCTCTTAAGCGAGATGAGCACGCAACCCCAGAGTCGGTCATGACTGGCCTGTACGGGCAGGGGTACCTTTACCTTTACTGAACGTGTGCAGCTTTTGGAGCTAATGCTATACAAAATACTCAAGACTAGCAAAAAAACAAAAGCAGAAAACCCACCCCACACTAAATAATTCCAAATATCAAGTGATAACATGACACAGTGGATGTAATGTGTAAGTTGATCCTAAGGAGGATTTTGCTCCAACTGAAATAATTTTGGTCTTTTCTGGTGGCTTTTAAAATAAAAAACAACAGTTTGATCTGTTCCATGAATTGTTTTCTCTGCCAATAAATCTGCACATCAAGAGAGCTTTTTCAAAGTACTGTTGAGGAAAGGAAGAATGACAGTTTGCCGGCACCCTGCTCTGAAAAACAACAAGGCCAAATTGCAGACATTTGGGTCTTCAGGGAAGACAGAGCATATCCATCTATCTATCATCTATCTATCTATCTATCTATCTATCTATCTATCTATCTATCTATCTATCTATCTCCCAGAATGTCTTTCTTGGGAGTACATTTTTAGAAACAGCCACACTTCAACTAATTTGGATTGTGGATAAAAATTCCCCTGGTGACTCCAATCCAAAATGTGCTTTACTTACGAGCCACTAACATCCCACTTTTGTGCAAGCTGCATATGAGATTGCCTTTCCAAGATTAGAAAGAAACAGAAGGGTGCATTAATTCCCTTCCCCCTGCACAATTTAGTGAGAAGTGTGGGTTCTAGTCCACATTAGTGATACTCAGTACCAGATCTGGGCACAGTAGAAAATGCCTTCATCTCCTGTCAGCTTCCTCTTGGAATGCAAAAGAGTTGAAGGCAACAGCTATTTGGGGCATTGATCTAAGATGGGTGCAGGACTGATAAAGCAATACATGATGTGGTAGAAAACCTCACCATACGTACATATGTAACAAGAACAGTTGAGCAAACTACTTTTGCTCAAAATAAAAAACCCACATTATCAGCCATTTTGATCTGCTGAAATTTATTGATACTTAACAGGGGATGCCATTCCAGGTTTTGTTGTGGGTTGGAAAAAGGTTTCAGTGGAGAGTAAATTCACAGCATGGTACAAAGGACTGCTCTTGGATATATTAGGAAATGACCAAAAAGGAGAAAGTATAATTGAAGAGCATTTGTTGTGGTTACTTGTGGATCCCATACTAGTCAAGAGTTTTGGGTACTCCTGAGGAACGACCCCAAGTGAACAAATGAATAGAGATGTCTGATCCCTTTTGTAACAGGCGTCCTTAAAAGCCAATGGGATATCTAAGAAGGATGGGAGGGATTGTTTCTATCTATGTGTACTACAGAAGGAAAACCCAGATAATGGAGCACTCTGAGCTTTTCAGGAATTGTGATTTGGCCACTGTTGAAGACAGCTGAAACCAAGGCCCAGTAAAGGTTGGAAATATCTCCCACTAATAATTGCACTTGATGTATTGTCAAAATTCAACTTGCCCCTTGCAGGTACAGACACATAATGGAATACTCATTTAAAACAAATATTTGGGGGTCTCCTTCTTCCCTTCCCCAGCAACTATTAAACATTGTCATCTTTCATGTGAAGTACTTGAGAATTATGGCTTGTTTACACACTACACCAACTACATGGAAACTGCTGGGAAATGATCTCATAGTAGTGGCTCACCGTATAAAGCCTTGACACATGTGTCTCCCAAAGCGCCAAGTTTCTTTCTGCCTCCACCAGGAATGTGCAAAGAATTAGGAAGATATCTGAGGGCAGGTACTACCTCAGGTATAGACAGTTCAATCCTAGCTGAGCTCAAGGTCTGTTTCATCAGATTGTGTGTTTTATCCTGAAACATCCAAGCATTTCAGCATCTTCATGACAACACAAGGCCACCGAAAGCTAATTTCCTCTACTTTGTTGTCCTTTTCTTTGAGTAGATTTAATAGCAGAACAAAGTTAAATAGGAGTTTTGAAGCATTTAGCTCTAGTGACCTTAAGTAGCTCATGTGATACATGGAGAAACATGAAACCAAATTTGACAGTGTACATATAGCACTTCTGGGGTACAAGGGAGAATGGTTCTATGTGCAGAGGCTGTTGACACAGCTCACCATACTTCCACTCTCTTCCACGTTACCCAAGGAGGGGCCAGAGAATGGTCCAAAGGCACATGTAACAGTTGCACTACTGAAAGCTAAATGAAAGAAGTCTGCTGGTTTCACAAGCTGTCTGGATGAGAGATTGCCTGGGAACCCTAAGCAAGGTGCTCCGAGCTCTTTGGGGGAATAGCTGGGTGTAATAAATGAGTTGAGATTCATGTCCATTCCATTCATTGTTATCTCTACACTATTCTGCCAATGGAGATGTATGATGTGGCCCTTATTCTGTAGTCCTTTTTTTTGCGGGTGGTTATGTGGGTGTTAATAGAGGGCCAATTCACAAACAAAATTGGCATGACATAAATGTGGGTCAAATAGATCCATGTGATCCTCAGTAATTGTGTGTCCATAGATGTAATTGCTCTGTGTACATGCAGGTAGATTTTACACATTTATAAAAAGGGTTAACGCAAGCTAGATGAAGGGATGGTTGAGCAAATGGCTAATTAATTACTATGAATTATGGTCAAGTCCAAAAGCTCATTTTTAACCACGCCACCACCTTGTCTCTAGAATTGCTAATTGAGACATTTAGAACCCACACTCTTCATCACTTGCAACAAGCCTAGACCATCTATTTGCATCCTTTATCAGTCTCTGATGTATGGGCTGATAAATGGAAACCAGTGGGTCAAAACGGCATGACCCTTTGGGCTAAAGATAAAGATCTTTCTCATATATATTTGTGTAAATGAAGGCAAAATTTTAATTTTAACACAAACACCTTTTATACAGGGGAGGTATATGCAAAAAATATATGCTAGGAAATAAATAAATAAATGAAAGAACTGCCTCAGCTCAGTTGGCTCAAAGGAAAGAAATTTGTCTCACTTTTAGCAAAAAAGCACCTGCAGCTACCGGTCACATCGAGTCATTCATTGTACTGTTATCTGCCAGAGAGGTTGTGACATTGGAGCAATTAAGACAAACTTTAGTCTATAAGTTCATGCCTGCAATCTCTATCCTTCACCTGAAGATTGATGATCCCTCCAAGGAAGGAAGCAAAGTATTTTCCAGTCTACCTCTGAAGTAATGGTTAGGATTTGTAATTGTTCAGCAGAAATTCCTCACTACAAGAGACTGGTGTACTCCCAAGCTTTTTTTTATGATCCTCTTCAGGTTTTTAAGTGACAGTGCATCAGAAATAGCCACCTCAGTGTAAACACTTTTGTTGGCCATCATACAGTCTTCCAAGTCACTGGACTTTTGAGAAATCTCCTGAAGAATTTCCAAAAAACAACAACACAACCCTGATAAATAAATGAATTATAAGACTTTAAAAATACATTTTAAATTAAAACACTGGTCTACTAAAACAGCCTCAAAATTAGAAAACAAATCTGGGCAACAAAAGTGGAAAAGTCAGCCCAAGACATTTTGGCAATTGAGAAGAACCAAAAAATGGTGGGCACCTCCCCCCACACCCTGGGCCAGTGAAGATCTACATCAGGAGCAATGGGGTAACAAAGTTCTACATCAGGAACAGGGGGAGTGAAGATCTACGTTGGGAACAAGGGAGGGAATCAAATCAACCTTCCCTGATGGTTGAAAAGGGGAATCGAAGGCCATCATGGGAGGAAAAGGGACCCGCTCTGAATCATGCTGGTGAGTGCAGAGTCTAGGAGACACCAGAGGGATGTTCCCACTTCCTCCCTAGGGGTGGGAGGAGACCAGCAATGCTTCCTGTTCACAAAGAAGCCACTGAGGCAGTTGGGGGGGGCACTGCTGAGGAGGTGGTAGATCCAATGAGCGTGCCACAGGCGATGCTGCCACTGCAGCTACATTCCTTAGAGATATGATCTGCTGCCGTTATGGATCCTGCCACCCAAGGCATTTGCCTCACGGGTGAATGAATTCATATATCCACATGCACCAGGATGGACAATGTGGGAATGGAGACCTTTGGTTGTGTTCCTACTGGTAAAGCCAAGTAAATCCCAACCTCCATTATATTATCCCACTAAAGAGGACGCATTGCACAATGTCCTCATTTCCCTGTTTGAGCTGCTCTTGGGGTTGCTTTGATGAACAGCACACACTTCTCTAATGAGTACAAATTTAGCACACATCCTGTGACTGATACCGGTTAGACATTTTATTCTTCCAACATAATTATTTCCCCTGCCTGGTCCATTTCAACTCATTTTTGGTGTTAAAAATAAAAAGACTAAAGGAGATACAATTGAGTCCACAGGACAGTTAAATTCATGCCCATCAATTCATCCACACCACCCATGGACTGCTTTTAAGCTAGTAAAAGATGTATAAAATACTCTGAAGCCAAGAAATATACAGTAAGTTTAATAAAATATATAATATTTTCTTAATGTTTCAGGAAACAGTGTGATGATAATGGGGGAGGGGAGGGGAAGGTATTCCTTGAATAAAAAAGTCACCATGCCTTCATCAAAGTCTTCTGCCAAAGCATAAAAACCCCGCATGGGCTTTGGATGACACCAGAGTCTCTGTCCTTTAGACATTCAGCATCCCTTTGGCTCACTGAGATCCCTGCTGCTGTTGCTGCTGCTGCTGCGAACGCCTCTCCTCTAACATCCGGCAGACCCACATGGAGACGACCTCAGCATTCCCATCATTGTACTGGACGATGAAGAGGTGGCCCTGAAAAGAAGCAGAGATGGACTCAACCAACAGAATCGAGCATCTAAGAACACAAGAAGAGCTCTGCAGCTGGATTGAGCCAATGACCCACCTAGTCCAGCATCCTATTCTCACAGTGGCTAACCAGGTGCCCAAAAGGAGGACCTAAGTGCCAAGGCAGCACTCTCCCTACTTGTGATTCCCAGCAACTAGCACTGAATGAATGTACGAAACACACAAGGATATCCAGGTATTGCTACTCAAGATCTGTTTTAACTGGAGGGTTTCTGGATTGAATCAGGGGCCTTCTGATTGTAAGGCTAGTATTCTAAAGGTAAAGGTAAAGGGACCCCTGACCATTAGGTCCAGTCGTGACCAACTCTGGGGTTGTGGTGCTCATCTCGCTCTATAGGCCAAGGAGCCGGCTTTTGTCCGCAGACAGCTTCCGGGTCATGTGGCCAGCATGACTAAGCCACTTCTGGCGAACCAGAGCAGCGCACGGAAATGCCGTTTACCTTCCCGCCGGAGCGGTACCTATTTATCTACTTGCACTTTGATGTGCTTTTGAACTGCTAGGTGGGCAGGAGGAGGCTAGTATTCTACCCCCACCCAAACTATGGCCCCTGATGTTTTTCTTTTCCATGGACAACATTGCTTTAAAGTTAAAAAAAATCTATAAATCAGTGTCTTTCTTTTGTAAAGGTCCAATCTGAAAAGGAGAGAAAAACATTACAGGGGGGGAAATGCTGGGCTTGTTTTCCAGTCCAGTCGAAGGGCAGAAGCCAAACACACACCTTTCCCAGGTGTTTATTACCATCCTGTATTTTTGCTTTAGGCATTACCAGATTGCTGCCACAGCTTCCCAATATTAATTTAGATTACATCTTCTCCTCAACATGACTAAGATGATCAGACTGGCAATTATTGAGATGGGCTGTGGCAGGGACAGAAAATGGAGACCATTGAGGCATGTGGCTGAGTGTGGAAGTTCCCTCTCCTCTTTCCTGGGAGCTCCCTGCAGTCCCCATGGACTGCCTAAGAATGCAACAGTTATGCTTTTCAGTTAGTTACTATGAGGGAAGGCACTTGTTTTACAGAAAGGAACACAGCTCTTGAGAGCTTTGCAGGAGCTACCAGACCCTGCATTCTGTGCTGTGTTCAACAGCTGCACTGATGTGAGCTTTATGATGCATGAAGTAATTAGAAAGAAGGGTGTGCAACTGAACATGTGCAGAATGCCTCCCTTTGAGGCATTTCCCTGCTCTGAGATTAGGGGCCAGAAGCCTTGAAACCTCCTTTTTCAAAAGTCACCCACTGGCACAGAGCTCCAGCCTCACACAAGTAACACAAAAGCAAAGAATGACATAGGGAAACGTCAAGTTGACACTGTACTCTGGAATAATTGCACAAACTTCATCAATGGTCGAAGGGAGATGTTGAAACTTTGCTTCTTAATAGCCATAGCTAGCTGCAACAAATACAGTGGTACCTCTGGTTACGAATGCTTCTGGTTATGAATGCTTCAGGTTACGAGCTCTGCTAACCTGGAAGTAGCTGCTCCTGGTTGTGAACTTTGCCCCATGATGCAAATGGAATTTGCATGCCAGAGGCACGCATGCAGTGGGAGGCCCCATTAGTGAAAGCGCGCCTCAGGATAAGAACGGTTTCAGCTTAAGAAAGGACCTCCGGAACGCATTAAGTTCGTACCAGAGGTAACACTGTAAATTGGTGCAGGCAAAGAAACCATTCAGGAGAACATGGAAATATAATCATCAAAAGGGTGATGATGATGCAATAAGCAAAATGCAGCTGAAGATGGAAGTGGGACAAATGGATGGTTGTGGATGGTACAAAGACACCAAAGTATTTTTAGGTCCGTTCCAAATTTGCACCATTTCTGCAATATGAATCTTTCTATGAAACAGATTTGCCACTCTTCCATTGCCCAATCACCACCATCCTAGGAGCTGCATGCTCCTCCCCTTTTGACTGACAGCAATGTGAACATCTTTCCTCCCCTGTACACATTGACTTCCTCTTTCCTCATATTCCCTTAATTGCTGCTAAACACGGTAAGATGCGACTACAGGAATTAGGAAGTGGAAATTTGAACATTTGCATTATTTTTCAGATTGGCTAACTTGGGCATTTATCAGTGCCAAAACTTGCTCCTCCTCCAATAACTTCCTGGTCAAGCCTTGTGCTTAGTCTTCCAGTATCCAAGTGCCTTACAGTAATTACTCTCACTGACTTCACAGAATGCTATGAGGTTAAATTCACTTAAGTGTTTGTAAAACTCTTGGAGATCCCTGGAGGAAAGGAACAAATGTCCTTATTCACAATAAAACCTACAATTACCTGCCTGGCCTTTTAAATAAGTCAGCCACAAACAAAACTGGCAAACGAGGAAGGTCAAGGAAGAATTGAGAGGGAAACAAATCAAGATCCCAGAGACAAAAAAAGAGAGAGCACACGCACACTGGGCCAGTAAAACCAGCCATTAAACAAAGTCAGACAGTTTCTACCATGAATCTCCTTTACAGCGAAGAAGCTCCCTGCTGTGGAAAAAACCCATCTCACACCAGTTGAAAAAAGAAACTTGCCTTGCTCAGGATTAGCCACAGCAAGAGAGACAGCAAGGAAATCTGGAAACAAAATGGTGTCTGGGAGCTCTAGGCATGCAGTTGCTGTGTGGAAGAATGGAAGAGGCACTGGGCTGCAGGAGTTAACCTGAAAGGCAGGAGGGCCAGGGCTTAAGCTCATTTCACACCCTGCTGCAAACTCAGTTCCTAGGAGGGAGGTGCAGAGAAAGGGTGGAGACCTGCTGCTTTTGTGGAGCAAGCTCTGCTCCGTATCATATTGGCCTAAATATAAGCCACACTTCTTTTCCAAATTCCGTGAAAAGTTAAAGCGCGTCTTAAATTTGCGACCTTACAAAATTTGGCTTTTCCAATATCGCTGCTGAAACAGACTTACGGTAAAACGGAATGGGTGTGGGTGCCTGCAGAATTTTAAGGGAGCGGCTTATATTTGGGTATTGTCTTTTCTACCCCCCCCCCACGAATTTTAAACGTGCGGCTTATAATCGGGCCAATATGGTAATTGTTTTTGGGTGGTGGTGGGGTGATAGCTTCAAAAACAAGCATTTACTTACTGTTAATGCCACCCCAATCTATAGAAACTTCCCACGGGGAAGGGTCTGAGCACAGTGATAAAAAATGCAGAAGGTCCCTGGTTTAATCCCCGATACCTCCAGTTAAGAAAGGATCACGGAGCAGGCAATAGGAAAGACCTGGTGAGCTAACGCCAATCAGAGTTGACCACAATGGGCTGTATTAGGTGAAACAGCCTGGTCTAATATATGGTAGTTTCCCACATTCCTTTGGAGGTGAGCTATAGCTCAGGGGTGGAGTACATGCTTTGCATCCAGAAGATGCCAGGCTTTATCCTTGGCAATTCCAGGTAGGGCTGGGGAAAGCTCCTCCCTTGAAACTCTGGACAACTACTGCAGCGTAGATCAGGGGTTTCCAGACATGGACCACCAATGGTTTATTGTGTGGATCTGTGCTTGAAGATGGGAGATGGCACATCCATCACACTGAATATTCACATTGATTGATAGTATTTTATTGCTTCTTTTATTTCTTATATTGTATTTTATTGTAATTCCATTGAATTCGAATTGTAATACAACGGCTACAACAGGCAGAAAAATCATTAAATAGTCTGCCAAGACCACCAGCAATTTTCAAGTGGTTTATTGGGGGGCGGCGGGGGTTTGGGAACTGCTGGTACATACAATACTGAATTAGATGGACCAATGTTCTGTATATACAAACCCAACTCTCATTTTCAGAACTGTTAGATCCGGTCTCACACTCCTGGGTATAAACAAAGGTTAGACGGCACTGGTAGTAACATGGAAATGGGTGTTGTTGGCAATAATAATAATAATAAAGATACATTCCTAACCACAAATTTGAAGCCGATGTAGAAGCAATGGGGAGAACGATAACACAAGATGAATTCAGCAGCATTTGTAAAACTGTAGATCTGGAGGGATTTGTAGGTTTTTGGGGGACGTCATAAAGTTTTGCATGCCAGAGTGGTCCTAGACATAAGGAAGAGTCTTTTTCCAAGTGGGGAGAGTCATAGAAAGCAAAAGCAGAGGTTGGAGGTAAGGATGCTAGGAAGGCAGAAAGAAAAAGGCAGACCAAAGCACTTGCTTCAGTGTTTTCCCCACTGTTGAATGGATTCCACTGAGGCGGAAGACGAGGGAGACGGTAGGAGGTAACCAGAGATACAGCTAGAGGGGGGAATGAAGTGGGGGGTGGGGGAAGAAGCAAGCCAACTACATCAGAAATGGAGCTGGCAGTTTGTGCAGGTATAATGAAGTTCCAGGCTGTTAGAAAGAGACAGAACCCATTTGTTAACCAGACACTCTCATTCCTAAGGAAAGAAGAAACAAATACACAAGGCACACAAAAGCAGGGAAGGACATAATGGGAAAAAGGGAGGAGGAAAGATGTGCATTCCAACAGGATTTTGCTCCTTGCGCATTTCAGCAACAAATGAACGTTGCTGGCATCGATGGGATCCACTTTATCCTTGAGCAATATTGGTCCAAAACCAGATGGCAGCAAACCTTTGGTACTTAAATATCCCTCTACTGACTCCCTTCATTTTGCAAGGTAATGTTGCAGAAATGTAAATGCACAGAAGCTTGAAATGTGTTTTCTCTTGTAGCAAACACTTCCTCAGACAAGAGGTGACCTTGAATTATCTGCTTGGTGTGGGGTCAAGACCCATCAGTCTCTGGAGCTGGATTCAGAGCAGCCTTCCTCCGGAGGATGAGGATCCTCACCGCAAGCCCTGTTACCTAAAGTGCTACCAAGACCATTTTGCCTTGCTTAACCCCAAGTGTTCCTGCTAGTGCCTTGATTCCTAACACTTCGCTCTGCATGTGGCTGAGCAAAGTGGAAGGCTTATTAGGCAGCACAACAGAAGGAATATGGTGTAAC